GAGGAGATACTTAAAATGTTCTCTGATGTTCATGAAAATTTTATTTTTATTATTTTTAAATAAATGACAAAAAAAAAGAGATAAGGCCAGTGATTACTTCCACGATTTCCAGTGGCACCCTGACACAGTATCTCGCATGGATACATATTAGTGTTCTGAAATAGCTTCATGAATATATACATTCAGAACAGAATTGTCAGTATTAGTTTTGAGGATATAACCTAAGAATATTTTGGTGTTGAATTATAGCGCAAATCAAGTGATTTCTAAGCGTTTGACTTCTTGAACACGGAATGTAAAAATCCTCACTTCTCTGAGGATGAACCCCATGATTGGTTGTGTGTATTTAAGATTCCTATCAAAATGCAGTAACAGAACTTGTAGCCCTTTCCACAAAGTGAGGAAAGATCAGCCAGTCACAAGCCTCTCCGACACTGAGACATCAGCTTCGAGCTTTTGATAAGTCTGCACCAAGGGAACACTGAACTGAGCCCAGAGCCGTCAGGGAAGAAAGTATCCTATTCTTTGTTTGTCCAGGCTCAAGGAGTACATTTAGCATGTCCAGAAAACACTGCAGTCATCACCAACAAGCCTTGCAACTTGTGGTTTTTCTAATTAGGTGAAAAAAATTTAACCAAATTTTGCATATAGCTCAGTCTACCTGTTTTGGAGTCATATGTAAATACATTGACAAAATATTGCAAAAAAATATATCTTTTCGGTGATCTAAATTTAGCATCATCATCCATTTAAACCAATATTCACAATTTAATAATTTTTAAAAATATTCTGGCTATAGATATGGCTCAGTGGTCAAGAGCACTAGCTGCTCTTGCAGAGAACCCAAGTTCAGTTCCCAGCACCCACATGGCACCTAACAACCATTCATAACTCCAGTTCTAGAAGATCTGATGTCCTTTTCTGACCTCCACCAGGTATTGCACGACACAGGTACACTTACATAAATACAGGCAATAAACTCATACATATAAAATATAAAATAAATAATAAATAAAAGTATTTAGAAATATTATTACTTAGACTTAGTACCCTACATAGGCATCAAACATTTAGATTACCTGTTGATACCAAATATTTGCACGTACATTGGAGAAAACTGAATTCAGCTTATGAATGTTGAAGAAAGGAGAAGGGCTGGCAAGATGGCCAATGAGTAAGATGCTGCCAAACCTGACAATTAGAACTGGATCTCTGGGACCCACATGGAACCAGACAACCAATGTCCCCAGGTTGTCCTCTGATCTCCAAACGGGCACTGTGGCACATGCACACATGCTCGCACACACAAACACATGCAATAAATAGGTAGATATAATTTTTTAAATATAGAGGACTATCAGTCAGGGAGACCCCTAATGGGTAAAAGCTTTGCAGTAAACAATCCATTGTAGCAAATTCTCCCAATTTCATATATAGTGTAGGAATGTAAGTAAACACTGGACAAATATGATAATAACAATATGTCTGAGTGTTCACTGGGCTTCTTCCACATATAACATTCTGTGGCACATTATTATCTCCTTGAATCCTCCCCCAAACCATATGAGGTGGGTCCTATTATCATACTATATAGGTAAAATAATGCGCAAAGTGAGGAAGTACTTTTCTTAAGCTTGCACACCCAGTAAGGAAGAGAACCCATGTTTGTACTAAGGGGCAAGTTCTCACCGGGACTTATCTCTGTATTTTAGTGCAACATGAGAATGCTGAAAAACTAACAAGTTTTCATACTCTGTCCTGGGATGCTGGGATGATGAAGAGTCTACCTCCCCCTTTGGCATCTCAAAGCCTAGTAAAGGGGCTTAAACATTAAGCAAAGGCAATCAGTTTGACAAGTTCTATAATAGATGAAGCAAAATGCCTGTGAACACAGAAAATGACACCTACCCAACTCTAGTCTGTGAGGTCAAAGGAGGTTTCTCTGAAGCTCTCTATGTAATGATAGACCTGTTGTGCCTGGATGATATTTGTGGTAACCCTAATATTTTGTTTAAACCAATAGAACATACTGTTTGAGTGGTGATGGAAGGCAAGTTGGAAATATTCATAGTGGCTTAGGAAACCAGCCCAGATGGGGAAACATGTCTCCCCCTACATAATCCATGAAATAGCTAAGGAATATTTCATTGGTGAGTTCCAGCCTACAAGAGTCACTGGCAGAGAATGTTGAGACCAGCTAAGAGCTGCTTTGCTCATGGATTTGTAGACAGGGCAGAGCTTGGGTGGCTCTTTGGAGATCAATGCAATGCCCTAGGTCATCTTAAGGATTGATTGCTAGGCTCTATCCTGCTACTCTGACACCTCCTAAAAACAACAAACATTGCCTGGTGTTAATTGCCCGGGTAAAAGGAGAAGTCTGAGGCCTGTCCCATGCTGTGACAGGTCCCAGCTGGTCTCTAAACAGGGAGGGACAGCTGCCACACACTCTGCAGAGATCTCCCAAGGCAAAGTAGGAATAGGAACTGATTCCTTTGGCTTCTACTAGGTGCTACACACTCAGCCAGACACTTTATGTTCCATTTTTGTATTCGGCTCTAAGAAATAGGCTTAATTTATCTCCATCTCAACACATGAGAAAATGAGGCTCAGTGTCTACAGAGCACCATACCATGCAATGATCACTCTAGAATGATAGACAGTCCACTGTACTGTCTAATGCAGCTGACACTTGCTCAATATATGAGTACACTTGCTTAATATATGAGTACTGCAATATATGAGTACTTGCCTAATATATGAGTACTGCAACTGAAGATGGACTTCTAGCTATGTTGGCTTTCGGTAGATTTTAACTTAAAATTACCACAGATTAAAAGATCAGGTGAACAGACCTAAGGACTTGCACAGACTAGGCAGTTGTTTTTGGAACATGTGTTTCTTAACTTTAAGTTTTCTGTTTCTACAAGAATGAGAACTTTCCAGAAAGCAACCATCCATCTAGTCTTCCAATTTTTGCTCTTCCTTCTCCTTGCCAAAGCCTAGCCTGAGGGAAAAAAAAATGAATGAGTAAAGCTTATTTTCTGACCATCCCAACCTCTGTAAAACCATCCTTAGGTGATGGAAACAGTTCCAAGAAAAGCAACAGGGGACACATTGACATTGCTGTTCAGTGAAGCTCCAGAGGCTTCAGAGTTCTCCACAACCAATGTGCTACAACACACCCATTAGGGAGTAGAGCTTTCTAGTTAAAAGATGACAATCCCTAGGGACAGGACGTGAGTGAAAGCAGAGTCCAGCTTTGTGTGTGTCAAGGGTGAGGGAAAGGTGTCAGTGCAGGGAGACAAGAAGGAAGAACATTTACCTTAAAAGGACCTCCCAGGTTCCCTTCAAATCCACCCTTTTAAAATTAAAATCAAAACAAAACATGCTAACCACACACATTTTCCACACATGGCAGGAAGATCTGTTCACTCATTTGTTCATCCGTGTCTTACTTGCCAGTTTAAGTGACTTCAAGTTGTTAATTATTTTTATTTTTATGTATGAGTAATTATGCCTGTACATATGTAAGTGCACCCATGTGGTGCAGTACCCAAAGAGGACAGAAGGGTGTTGGATCCCCTGGTATTGGAGTTATGAATGGATGATTGTTAGCTGCCATGTGGGTGCTGGGATTCGAACCAGAGTCTTCTGCAAGAGCAGCCAGTGCTCTTAACCACTGAGCCATCTCTCCAGCCACAGCTGCAAGTTTCAAAGGGTGAGAGCTGTAAAGACAGCTCAGATGGTGAAGTGCTTGCGTTGGACTGGGGATAGAGCTCAGCAGTAGAGTTCTTGCCTCAAGGCCCCAGATTTTGATCCCCCAAACCACAGAAATAGAGAAAAAAAGGAAAGATTTCATTCAATGGTAAATTGCTTGCTTTGCAAGCATGTGGACCTGAGTTTGATCCCCAAAACCCACTTTTTAAAACCCAGGTATGTGATGTATGCTTATAATCTCAGCCCTGGTGAAGTGGAAACAGTTGGACCCGGGGCTTTCAGTCAGCCTGCCCAATGTACGAGCTGCCTGTCAGTCCATCGGTGACTCTGAATAAAAAACTAAGGAGGGCAATATTCCTGAGTAACAACACATCTAACACTGTCCCCTGGCATCCACATACGCTCACATGCATGTGTTTGGACTCACATACACTTGTGCACACACACATTCATATGTATCATATGTATACACACACACACACACACCCTTATGCATGTGTGTGCATATACACAAAAGAAGACACAAAAAGAAACAAGATTGTCGTTTGTCGTCAGAAACACAAGGTTAATGCAGTCATGTTTTATAAACCTGCACCTTTTGTTTACATTTTAACCAAGAAACAGAGACCGGGAAAGGGACTTGTATACCATCATACAAAATGTTCACCATCCAAGAAGGGATTTCCCCTATTCAGCCTCAGCTCTGAAACTGACCTGGAACATTTCTCTTCTATGTCCCTTGTGCAGAGGCCAAGGAGAAGAATGTGACGACATGAACAAGATCAATGGCGACGGCTGCTCTCTTTTCTGCCAACAAGAAGTTTCCTTCAACTGCGTTGGTGAGTTTTTGCCACCGTATCTCTGACTCTGGCTTATTGGCTGGTTACAATAACCACGATTATGACTAAACAAATATTTGCTTCTTTGTGCTGCATACCTGTCAAGTGTTTTCTATGTGCCAGGCACTGTCATAAGTACCAAGAGATACAGCAACAAAAACCGAAGAAAAACAGAAGGTCAAATGTCCCTGTGCTTAAGAACTTATGCCCTTAAAGAAGATGCCCATGGCAGGTGACATTTTTTATCCAACTTTAACATACTGATGTGATTGTTTTCTTCACACCAGCTCTGCAGGATGCCTATTGCCATAGATAGATAGATATAGATGATTGATAGATGATAGATAGATAGATAGATAGATAGATAGATAGATAGATAGATAGATAGATATAGATAGATAGATAGATACATGATAGATGTGTGTGTGTGTGTGTGTGTGTGTGTGTGTGTGTGTGTGTGTGTGTGCTTTTATTCTTTAGAGATGGGACACATCTCTGGATGTGTGACTAGGTAATGTACCCGGAATGACGTGGATCAGCAGGCGGCTGATGACAAAAATCATGATTTGCACCTGATTTTGTCTGAATTTCAAGTCTCCACTCAGCCCATTCTGCACAATCTCTCACCTGGATCCACTAAGTGCCAGGAGCCTTGATGTAGACCCAGAACCTTAGGCCGTCTCTCTGTTCTGCAGTGTAGCTGGAGAAACAGCAGACCAGCCTGTGTTTAGAAAGCAAACCTCCTTTTCCCACCTTTACCAGATCGGATGGAAAATGTGTTTTCCTCTGCCTTCACAAGGAGTCTGGCCGATGGTGTTGTTTCAGCCCCACTTGGGAGGCCCTGGCCAGCCCAAGGCTGGTAAACAGACAGGGGATGGGGGCAGGGATGGAATTTTGAGCTGGCCCAGATGAGATCATACTTCCTTTAAGATGCAAATCGATACCTGAAGATCAAAGGTCCTTTGGCTAATCCCCTGGGCTGGAGGTGAAAACTAATCACAATTCATTTGCAAGTACAAAAGACAGGGGTGCTCTATCTGAAAAGGGAAGAGGCAGCCACGGGAGGGGTGAAAACCTTGGTGGGAAGATTTCTCACTGAAAGGAAATTTTCTAGGAGGACTAAAGGAAGGAGATGTCATCGCATCTTTGCATCTGCAGCGCATTACGGGGCTCTGCTTAAACATTCTTTTCCCTAGTAGGTTGAGGTCCATGAGGATAAATAAAAGAAATGCATTATTTAGCTTTTATTCCATTTCCAGCACATTTGCTGAGCAGCTACTATCTCCTCTGCACCAAGTAGGGCCTGTGCAGCACAATGGAGATGCTCTGTGAATGTTGTCGGGTAAAAGAAGATACAGAAGGAAGGACAGGGAGGGTTCTAGACAGAACTTGGGCTCTTTAAATTGCAGAAGATTTTCCCTATGTTGAGTTGAGTGTTACTCATGGTAAAAGCTTGATACTAGCCTAGTGGCAGGCGGGAAGAAAATTTAATTAAAATTAAGAAAATCAAGTTCTTATTCCAGTGCTGAGAACTTCCATAAGGTTCCTTCCATAGTTCTCTTCCGTACTTTGAGCTTCAGGGTACTTTCTGTGAATGATGGAAATCCTTAAGTGAGATCTCTGAGAATCTGCCCTTCTGCTGTGTGATTTCCAATGCCTGTGGCTGAATTCCTCACAATCATAAACTCTACTTGAAGAGAACCTTCCCCTTTCCAAACATCATTAATCTATACCTGAAAATATCTGCCTGTTTTACTTGTATGAACATAGTATGTGACTTAAGGGCCCCTAGGAAGAAGGTTGGCTTGGTGATGGTGGAATGTGGAACATGGACCCCTAAAAGAGATGCTTGACATCTGACATTTGTGTTTTATGCACAACTAGAAAGATGCTCACAAGTACACACTTCGAGTCCATGGACAGGGTCCACAGATCAGAACTACCCTACTGCTGGCAGATATGAGTATTGCCAAGAGAATGAGACTCAGTCCTTCACAGGTCATCTACAGACTTATTCTCTACCTTGTTCTAAGGGTCCTTCTGCTGGTGGTAGTGTTGGTTGACCATCTTTATATGTCAGGCATATTTGTAAGCTCTTATTCTCATGAAAACTCTTTTATGCGTCACTTTACAAAGTAAGAAGGAAAGGTATAGAGTGGAAGGTAAAGATATAGAGTTGTTATAAAGATGTATTTAAACCCAAGTCTGACTCCGTGCTTACTGTGGTAAGCCACTTGAAAAGTAAAAGGCACTCCTGATCTTAAAGAGATTTGAGGGTGAATGACGACTTTATTATTTTGAAGGAATTGATGTAATGGACTACAAAAGGGGAGTGGATTGTAAATGGTGTCAAAGGAAGGCTCTTTCTTATTCTTGTACACTGAGTGGTGTTTGTGTTGGGGAAGACATCAGTTGTGCCCTTGATTTGTCATTTAGAATTCCCTGACACACATAGAGACACAGACATTCCAGGCAGAATAAAGATCATCCTAAGAACCCTGTTTCCAGGGACTGTATGACAACACAAACTCCTTACCTTAAATCTTGAAAACCTTCTTCTTCTAAAAGCAGCTTCTGAAGTATAGACAGAGAATTTTGGACACCATCCCCCCACAAAGAAAAATAGCTTTAATGGGGCTGCAGTGTGGGAGGCTTTGACGAAGAGAACATTCATCAGATCTTGGCATGTGTGAAGAAGGACAGAGGTCAAGACAGTAGCCAGGAAAACAAGCTCAGGTGAGACTGCCTTGGGTTCACATCATGACTTGGATGTCTGATGTTGTAAGCTTTGGTATTCTCATCCAGAAAATGTGAAAGACCTAGCACCTCCCTTGGAAGATGTCTGTCAATATTTTGAGGTGTTTACTCTCTGAATCCCCTTCCCAGATTTAAGGAATCATTCTCCTAATGAGGCAGAGCTCAATCTTCAGTAGAACAGTTGAACTAATCTTCCCCAATCATCCTACAGCTTAGGTGGGTAGACTTTCCGCCTGCCCCAACACACAACCAAGTCACAACATAGACTCAGAAGTCAGTGCAGAACCCATTTTGATAAGGATGCAGTGAGTGGCAGTTTCTAAAGTACCAAACACAGTATCTAGCATCAAAACTGAGGTCATATAGCAAAAAGTGTATTATTTCTTCCCAAGGCCAGTCCCAGGGCTAGTGCTTCAGCCTGGAGCTGGATGCTAGAGCATACAATTGTTCCTCTCCAGCCATCTCAGAGAGGCCTCCATTAAGTACTGGGTATTTCAAATCTATGGCATTTGTTTTTCTTGCTTAGGCTAACTGAAACTGGTTTCTGTTGTTTGCCACTTAGAATCCTCATTGTAAAATTTTCTCATAAGACACAGTGAAGTTTAGTCCCATTTCCTGGAACTAAAATTGCCCTCTCGTGTGAATATGGGGATTCAGGTCACTGTAGAGAATGAGATATGAGCAGTAACTATCCTTTATAGAGAGCCATAGTACTGGATGGTAGCCCTGTATTATTTATCTTATTAAATGTGAACCTATGTGAGGTCTCTTACTGCCAGGTGTGAGATCTGAGATTTACTGTGATATCTTAACTGACCTAAGTTCACAGATATGTGGTACTACCTCCAGACTGAGCAGGGATCCCTGCTTTTCCTATTATGACATTCTACCATTAGGAAGACTTACCTCCCTCCTTCCGTCCTTCTGTCCCTCCTTCCTTCTCCCTTCTTCCCTTCCTCCCTTTCTCCCTTCTTCCCTTCCTCCCTTTCTCCCTCCCTCCTTCCATCCTTCTGTCCCTCCCTCCTTCCCTCCCTCCCTTCCTCCCTCCCTCCCTCTCTCCTTCCTTGTTTCCTTTCCTTTTTTGAGACAAGGTCTCAACTACGTAGCCCTGGCTGGCCTGAAACTCGCCGTGTAGACCAGGCTGGCCTTGAACTCTCAGAGATCCGTGTACCTCTGCCATGAGAGTACTGGATTAAAGGTGTGTGCCACTATATTTGGCTCAGTTAATTTTCTAATACAGCCCAGGGCCACCTGGCCAAGATGGTACATGTCTACAGTGGGCTGGGCCCTCCTACAGCAATTAACAATTAGAAAATGCCTTAAGCCAGGTATGGTAGCACATTCCTTTAATTCCAATTTCCATCCTTCCTTCCTCCCTTCCTTCCTCCTTTCCATCCTTTCTTCCTTCCTTCCTTCCTTCCTCTCTCCCTTCCTTTCCTTCTTCCTCCCTCCTTCCCTCCCTCCCTCCCTCTCTCCCTCCCTCCCTTCCTTCCTTCTTTCCTTTGTTATTCTACATTGCTTTCCTTTTTTCCCTCCTCCCTTAGCTTGTCTCCTTTTTAGTTGTTGTTCTTGTTGTTTTTCCCCTCCTCCTCCTCCTCCTCCCTCCTCCTTCTCTACACCCTCCTCTTCCTCCCTTTCCTCCTCTTCTCTTTTCCTGCTGCTGCCCTTCCACACTACCCTTGTCATCACTGACCATTTAGAAGGACTCCATTCCCTGGGCCAGTAACACCAGTGTAAGGGTGGGTGACAGATTTATGGGGACATTCCCCTTCACTTTTCAGAAGCCCACACATCCGGAAGTATTCCCTAGGTGCCAATGTGTTATTATGCAACACTCTGGGGACTTCTCTTTCCCACTTTCCCACCCTCAGTGCCCTAGTTCCCCCCCCTTTAATAAGTTTTTTATTAAAACAAATACCACCCACAGGACCTCTTGAGTAATGCAGACTACAACCCTTCGCAATGTAGAAATTATCTTGTCCTTTTTCTCCCTTTTAAAACTATAACGCACACCAGGCCTGGGATTTTCTTTGGAAACCACGGTATCAGTGAAGTGATAACTCCCCCAGCAGGCGCTGGCTGGAGGCATTGTTCAGCAGTGGGGATTCCTCTTGAAAGCACTGAATCACAAACTACAGACAGGCTGCTGATAAAAGCTGAAGGCTGGTAGGTAATGGCCAAATTAGCCAGACAAAATGTGAAGGATCCCCAAAAGGGGTTGTACCTCGTCATATATCTTGAGC